GGGAAAAGGGGAAACAAGGAAAATGTCATTATAATTTCCCATGCATTTGTATTTCTACTAATTGAAAACTAATATGTATGAGGAGTAAAAATTACCTTATATATTTATATGTATATTGCTGTTCTATAGGATAGGCCTCAGGTATGGCCAATTAAAGTCCACTAATAATTCCAAATCTAAAAGGGAATGAAATAATTACATGCAATTGTATACTTCCAAAAGGAAATTCTTTTTTAAATTTTTTTTTGAAAATCTGAATTGGCCTACTAACCTGGTAGCATAAACTTGCGTGAGTTGACTGTATGTCACTCCATCCTGTACAAATTCTGGTGTAGGCTATTGTACTGGTCACCATATATAGCATTGCTGAGATGATGCAAAATTAAAAAAAAAGAATTTCCTTGTCCTGAAACTTTCACTATCATATGTGGATAGTGTGAAAAGCTTTCAGGTAGTATGAAGAAGTACATTCTGAGGGTGATGAGAAATAGGAAGTCAGTAATGGTGGCTAGAAAATGAAGATGATGTGGGGTAATGGGCAAATAGCAAAATTAGAAGAGACAGGAACATGTCTTCAAGGGAAACAACTATAATGGGACAGAGATAAATATAGTTATGCATGTGACTTCAAACCTTAATTTTGGATAGACACTGTCTTAGCTATTTGTGGGCAATATTTATTGTGTCAAGACTTTTTAAACAACTAGAGGTAGGGACAGTTTGTAGCTATTCTCCTTAAAATATGTGAATAAAACCCCAGCTTTAATACTGTTGAGAAGAATTTGTTTTAATACTTGAGAGAACTCTAATGATTGCATTGTTTGAGCAATTTTTAAAATATAAAATATAATGTGTTACTTATCTTCCATTTAACTTATATTTAAATATGAACACGATTATTTATTTGACTTTTTAAAGCAACCCATCCTATTTACCAAGGTTCATGCTAGACAACATTACGAAAGTGTTTTTAAACCCATGCCTTTAATAAAATATTACATATTTATGATGGAATGAAATTATTGCCTTGGCCATCCACACTCAAAGCAAATTGGTTGCAGTCCATTAATTATCACACCATTTTAAAAGCACTGACAACCAAGGGCTTTGATGCAGAAGACTGCATATGACCCATAATTTCCACTGACAAATTTCTGTAAGACCACGTCTTGTAGGGGATATTTTATCAAGCAATCTTGTTAATTTTTCCAACTAACATTTGATATTTTTATATGTAAAATGTGATTATTTAAATATGGAATGCAGCACAGAGGTGGCTGCTTTGTCACCAGTTGCATCGTTCCCCCAATGCAGCTCCAGATTGTTTTGCCTAAGGAGAGCTGGTTCACATGTTAACCTCTGTATATCAGTAGTGACGTCACATTTCTATCTCTTTTAGTTATGCTCAGGAGATCAAAAGTGCCCACTCAGGTTCCTCCTTTCCCTCTTGAACTCACAAAATTCCCTCTCCCTCTCAACTGCCACATACGTCCCATGTTTAGTATTATATATGGTAACCATTATGTCTGCACTCAGCTTATCATTAACCATATTTAATTTTAAGCCACAGTTCCATACAGGGATGTTGTGAACTTTGAGACAATCATGTTCAGCAAGAACGTACTGTGTTCAACAGCCATGAGCGCTTATAAGCTAAGCTTCAGATTTGTTTGCCTTGCCAACATCAAAGCTGAACAACTACCAAAAGCTTTGTGGCTGTGTAGAAGCTGTAATGCTGGAGTTTTGTTTCCTTGTGGTGGTGAAGTTTAATTTTCTTGCCTTAAGGTTTCTTTTGCATCTGCATAGTACGTGAAATAGACGATCCCCCAGGGTCATGGGCAGTTCAGGTAATTATTTGACACTGGGGGTAGATACGAAAATTCACATGTATGAAATAACCTCAATAAAACAGACTTAAAATGCAGTTTTATTTAAACTTGCTGGCTGATTAACTTGGCAACTGTTTGTTTTTTGTATGACTGGGTGCTCAGTAGTGTACAGTGATGACAGCACTGTGGTGGAGGAGGGAAACTAGAATTCACTGGGCTGTATGAGAATGTGCATACATGAAACACTGCTGATGGCACTGTACCATGCCATTAGAATATGCCAGAGTAACCTGATTAACAGGCTTGAACTGTTCCTGAACAGGTAAACTGATCAATGAAAAATTAGCTTCCTGCAAGGAGAGTATGAGCCAAATTAATGGCTACATCCCTGGTTTGAAACCATGGCTTTAAGCTGTTTCAAATTCTGAGTTAAAGCTAACTGTGATAAGGATTGGGCTCAGTACAAGCTTTACGGCATCCACAGTTAAGGACTTTTATGATACAATTTTGGCACCAAATACTTACAGAGGAAATTGACTCAGTGAGGCATAGGCTGTAGCAGCCTCGTTCCAACCATCATTCTGTTAAGATGAAAGCTACAAACAGTGATGCACATTCATTGCAATTGCAGTAGCTTTGCTTGTTCTTGCTAGACTTAAGGGACAAGGAAACCACAGCCCAGCAGTCTTATGTATGGCTGGGACTGGCTTTTCTTGAACATTTTTGTGAATGCAAAACAAAACAAAAACAGGGGAAAGCAGCTTATACATCAGATAAAACAAGACCATTTATTTCCTTCCTTTGTTGTTGTCGTTCAGTCGCACAGTCGAGTCCAACTCTTTGCAACCCCATGGACCACATCGCGCCAGGCCCTCCTGTCTTTTGTCATCCTCCGGAGTTTGCTTAATTCCATGTTCGTTGCCTCGATAACACTGTCTAACCATCTCATCCTTTGCCATCCCCGTCTTCTTTGACCTTCAGTCTTTCCCAGCATCAGGGTCTTCTCCAGTGAGTGCTCCCTTCTCATTTGGTGGCCAAAGTATTTGAACTTCAGCTTCAGTATCTGGCCTTCCAGGAAACAGTCAGGGTTGACTTCTTTTAGGATTTACTGATTCGATCTCCTGGTAGTCCACTTCTTCCTTACTGTAACTGTAAAGACTAGATACTTATTTAGTCTAACAAGAATGGCAACAATGAACAGGCAACAATGCTGGTGACTCTCTCTTTGTGGCATAGGGTAAGAGGTGGTGGCTGAGGGACTTTACAGGTAGGTGTAGAGGAATTTTAACACAGCTTCACTGAAAGCTGAACTATACATATCAGCAGCAGACCTATCTCTATGTTAAATGCAGGTCAAAACTAACTTAACCATAGGAGTTGAGTATTAACTCCCAAACACTTTTTGTGTATTGGAACATGCACTATCAGGATAATATACAACCTTATATATATAGATTAATGTTATATACAGTTGTTGCGTATGTGTAATAAAAAAAACAAATTAAACATACTAAATACAGGTCTGTCTGAAATGCATATAAAGCAATGGAAAGAAGTGTGATCTAAAGAGCAAAAGAGGTGAACAGATGAAGGTTGGCAAACCCTAATCCACACACACCACTCAGCTCCCAGAGTGATTTTTCTCCAATCCAGCCTCATTTTCACTAATAGGATCTGGCTGGGGGAGGGGGGGGGATGATATGGGTGAGACTGCTGGTAGGTAAACTAGGCGGGGTGAGTGTGTGTTCTGCTCACTCCCTATGTTAATTTTTTGCTCTTCAATCCCCTCTCAATCTTCTTCTTTATATGTGCTTGGAGCAGACCTGCAATGACGAGATGGGTCTGCCACTGTTGTATCTAGTTTGTCCATTAGATGTTGAAATGAACCAGCTGTGTACAGATAATAAATTTCAGCAGATGAGTATTGTAGTATTAGTGGAAGTTAAATTATCATTAAAAATAAGAACAGCATCTTGATGATATTTCAGCCCAGCATAGTTATGACTGGAAAAGGAAAACTGGCCGCAATGTGACTATATTACCATGTGAAAAACAGCCATACGTATTCACCTGTCTTCTGTTGGTATTTTATTGTTATATGACCTCTATGATTTGAGGATGTTTGCTTAGCAAGCATAAGATTAATTTTTTAAAAAATTCTTCCTCTAGAACTATAATAAAACAGAGTTGGCAACACTGCTTTCTGGGTTTTGTTGTACAATATCTATATTACATTTTAATATTTAGATTCTGAAAGAAGTCCTGTCTGTGTCAATAGTTTATTAAAAAAATATTTCCTCAAAACTTAAATTTATTAGTTGCAATTTTGTAAAAAAAATTAAGGAACAGACAATTCTAAACAAATCTCTTTAACATGTTGTTTGTGCTTACTGTCTACATTACTGTACCCTGCCTTCAGATTGATAAATGTTCTTTATCACAGATTTATTTACACTGCAATTAAAGCAATAATACAGTACAAATGAATTAACAGTGGTACCAGGTCACAATGATCACTAAACAATCATAAGCCCTTATAGAAGAGGTAAATTTTGTATCCTCTCCAGAAAACAAGACCAGCACAACTTTGAACTTCATTGGAGAAATCATTCCATAGCTTTGGAACAGCTGCCATAAGACCCTTTTTTGTCCCAAATACAGCAAACATAACTTCACATGCAGAGGAAAATTTATAAGCAATAAATGTCAGTATTTAGAAAAAGGAAGGTAATGAAAAATAAATCCTTCACTAGGTAAGACTGACAGCCATGTTTAGCTGTTTTAATTCAGGGAAACACAAGAGATTCAAAAGGAAGTGAATTGGTGAGGAAGTACAAGAATTTCAGCCTGCCTCAAGGACACAGCCAAAGGCAGAGAATTGCATCACTTTGAAAGAATGAGTGTCTCCCCCTTCACATGAGACCTGGGAGTGTGGAGAAAAGAAGCTCAGTTCACCTGAATGTCCCAAGTTACTCCAAATCACTGCCCTAACTCTTATTTTTTAAAAATCTGCAGACTGGAAACCTGATTTCCAGTGTGGAAAGAGACATTTGCAAAAGTTTGATTATTTAAGTACTTCAGGTCAACAAGCTGAAATAGGATAACTGATGCAAGCTGACAGCATTTTCACTTAGCGAAGACCATTTCGAAGTGAGTTTCCACACTCCATTGTTAAGGCTTTGGGACCTGAGGTAACTGAAAGAGAGAGAGAGAGAGAGTTTAAAAAGTTTGTCAGACTACCAGGCATTTACATGGCTCCTTCCTGTGGTTGAGCTCTCAGCATAAAAGTTAATCGATTGTGGAAGATGTGGTAATGCTCTGTAAACAATTACTATTTCAAAAGGCGTGCGCTTGTACTGGACTCTGGGTCAATTTTCTTTGTGAGACCAAAAATATCTTTACTAGTAGTACTTCGCTCCTGAAAACAAGGTTTCCCTGCGCTCTAGACATTGTTCAAGCTTAGCAGCAAATAACAGAGCCCTTGTTTTAGGGCACGTCTGGGGTCCTGACTTTTTCGCTTTCCTTAAAAGAGGTGGCAGGTTTGTGCCTGAATACTGTTTACTGTGGATTTTTCAGACTATGCAGGGGGTGGGCAGCTGTATCCAAACAGGAAGCCAGCTCTATGCCATTGAAAGCAAAAAAACAGTGGCAGAAGCTTTGCTTTTAAAATACTGTTGTGAATGTCTATAAGCATACTACTGAAGCCAAATTTTAGCACTTCAGTGCAACAAACGGGCTGGAAGACCAATGGTTATGCATATTTTGGTTTGGATCCAATGATCATTCAGCAGTAGATGCTGACAATTGAGGGTCTTCTTTGGTTTCCCCTCTCCCAGGAGCCATTTCTGACCTTGGGAAAGTTGATTCTCAGAGTTTCAGGGCCCATGTGGACTAAAAGTGCTGGGTCGAGTGAGGAAAAGAAAGGGGGGGTTAAATCATCGTTTCTACTTCTCCCACCATTCCTCACTGCAGCCTACCAAACTGCATGGCTGTTACTTCACAAAGGTTCCATGATCCAAGAAACAAACTTTCCTGGGGTCAGAAATGGCTGCTAGGCAAAGCAAAAAAAGATCCATGATGTTTCTCTGAGCTGATGGCTGAATCCAACCATATCTCTATACACAAAAGTGTATAGTACATTATAACTTCCTGCTGTTCTTCTTCCATCACTGCAGAAGTATATCAACAAGTGTGTCATAGTGTACTAGGACTGGGGAGACCACGGTTCAAATTCCCTGCTAGCCATAAAACTCACTGGTTGATCTTGGGCCAGCTGGAGCCAATCAGGAACCTAGAAGGTTGAGCAGCTAAAACACGGAACAAAATACATCTATTTATTACAAAGTGCACAGTAGCCACAGATTAAAAACAACATACACAGAGTGTAGATAAAAACAAAGTAGGTATCACATTACATCCACATAGCATACAACAACAAATGTAAGTTGTGCGTACAATAAGTACTAGACAAAAATATTAGCTACACGTACAATAACCACTAGATCAAATATGTTTTGGCCTACAGGGCCTTCAGTGGTCTAAATAATAAGAAAACACACTAGAAATGTAGATATGAAATATCTGTCCCAGACCAGTCAGGTTATGTATGAATCAACAGAACAGTGTAACTCCAAATAACAGTTATAAAGTTTTGATGTCAATTGGGCCTGCATATATTGGGGAGCCTACACCCATCAGAGATAATAGCTTTATACAACCATTCTACCCTTGGCTGTAGCACCATTCACAGTATGTATCCATGTGTCAACCAAACGTGAAGGTCCCTTCACTTTTGAAGTTGTTTTTAATCTGTAGCTACTGTACACTTTTTAATGAATAGATACATTTTGTTCTGTTTTAGCTGCTCAAACTTCTAGGTTCCGGACTTGCTTCTCTGGTTGGGTCCCCTGCCCCTTTGTTGTTTCCCAGTTGGAGCCAAATCAGACATTATTCTGTGAGTTTCATGAATGGAGTTCTGACAGTTTAGTTTTTCTTTAAGCAGCAGGTGTGCAGACGGGCTTAGATCAAGACCATCATATGAAGAGTTTGGCTTAAGCTATTCCCGTGTCATTGCTTTTGTTTCTGGTTTTAGAGTGGTACCTGAGTTCGCAGGAGATCTACCTCTTCTGCAAGAATCTGCTTCTCCTTGTAGAGCTGATTCTGTTTGTTCAGTAACTCCACTAGTTGCAGGGCAGTGGACTGGCAGTGCTTGTCAAGCTGGTGCAGCCTGGGTAAAACACAAACAGGAGGTTGCTCTGGTGGCATCACAGAAAAATAGAGCTGCAAGGGACCTCAAGGGTCATGTAGTCCAACCCCCTGTACAATGCAGGCATCAGGTTCCCAGGCAATCCACTCTCAGACCACAATTCGTTGAAGAGAATTTTATTGAAAAGAGATTTGGAAAGTTGCAAGGATGAGATCCTTGCTAAGACTAAGGCACAAAGTGAAAGTGGCTCAAGGTATAGTCAAACCCCACATTCCATTCCATCATCATTCACACACACCCCTTTGCAGGCTATTCCAACTCCAGCCCTAACAGATACATCAATTCAACTAGCCACGTGGAAGTCTTCTCTTCAAGGATGACCTGCTGTGAAAGTCTTTCCCTGAGGTGCACTTGTTATGGGAAAGGATGATACAAAGCAAGCAGCTAGTCTACTCCCCCATTCACACATCCAGACAGTCACACCTTCCCCCACCCTGCAGGAATGGCATGGCAGCGAGGGCATCCATAAGCAAAGGAACAGAAACCAGAAGGAGACCATAAAATAACAATACATTGATCATTGAAGCCATAAACCAGCCTGAGTCTGACAGCAGGACATTCACAGTTACCTTCCCCCCCTCCCCCCAGTGATCCCTGCTCTATGCTCAGAAAAAAGGCAAAAAACCTGGAGAATCACTGGGCCAATCTGGCTTGGAGGAGAATTCCTTCCTGGCCCCAAAGTGGCGATCAGCGTTAGCCTGAGCATGTAGGAAAGGGTCAGGAATGCTGAGCACTGGCTCATCCCATCCCATCCCATCCGCCTAAATCCACAACATCTGCATTGCTGACAGGTGGCCATGTAGCCTCTGCTTAAAAACCTCCAAAGAAGGAGAGCCCACCACCTCCCCAGGAAGCCCTGTTCCACTGAGGCACTGCCTAACTGTCCTCCTAATGTTTAGCCAAAAACTCTTTTGATTTGATTCCAACCCATTGGTTCTGGTCTGACCTTCCGGGGCAACAGAAAACAACAGTGTTCTATCCTCTATATGACAGCCCTTCAAATACTTGAAGATGTCTATCATGTCATTTCTTAGTCATCTCCTCTCCAGGCTAAACATACCCAGCTCCTTCAGCCTTTCCTCATAGGACTTGGTTTCAAGACCCCTCACCATCTTCTCCTCTGGACACATTCCAGCTTGTCTTAAACTGTGGTGCCCAAAACTGAACGCAACACTCCAAGTGAGGTCTATCCAGAGCACAGTAAAATGATACTATCACTTTGTGTAATCTGGACACTATACTTCTGTCAATGTAGCCCAAAATCGTATTTGCCTTTTTAGCTACTGCATCACACTGCTTACTCAGGTTCAATGTATGGTCTACTAAAACACCCAGATTCTTTTTGTATGCACCACTGCCAAGACAAGTCTCCCCTGTGCTATAATTATGCATTTGATTTTTCCTACCTAAATGCAGAACTTTACATTTATCTTTGTTGAAATTAATTTTGTTAGTTTTAGCTCAGTTTCCCAGCCTGTCAAGATCATCCTGTATCTTGACTCAGTCTTCTTCTATATTTGTTACCCCTCCCAATTCAGTACCACCTGCAGATTTAATTAGCATCCCCTCTGTTCCTTCATCCAAATAATTTTATAAAGATGCTAAACAACACAGTGTCCAGGACAGATCTCGGAGGCACTCTACTTGTCACTTCTCTCCAAGAGGATAAGGAGCCATTAACAAGTACTCTTTGGGATCCAGCATGACAGTAACTGTCTCAAAAAAGGAGGTAAGGTTAATCTGACATGACTTGTTACTGAGGATCCCATACTGGCTCTTAGTAATCACAGCCATCCCTTCTAAATGCTTTAGTGCTGTTTGATTATTTGATGGGTTACCTAGATCCTCTCTTTCCTTGAAGATGGGGACATTTGCCCACCTCTGATCTTTTGGCACCTCACCTCCAAAAATTCTCAAAAATAATGGACAGAAGCTCCAAAATTACATCAACAAGTTCTTTTAGTACCCTTGGGTGCAATTCATCTGTTTGCACTGTTGCAAGAGGATATGGTTGTAGGAGATTACACAGTCAAGGCTACTCATCACACTGGGATAATTAATTATGTCAAGCCAATACTTTGGATTATACCTTTTCCTCCTTCACAGAAACATGTGAAGTCAAGTGTTTATGGTTTTAAATTAAAACTGTAATCTGTCAAAGATCACATGAACTACTGTATTAGGTATACTATTAATATGTAGGTATGGTTCCATCATCAACCAGAAAGGAGACTGCAACCAAGGGCAGCCATGAAAGAGCTAGAAAAAGATTCTTAAGTGTAAGGATGTGTTGCTGGCAACGAAGAGCAAGATAATTAATGCCATATCATTCCCCATTACTATGTATGGGTGTTAACGTTGGACAATGAAGAAAGGTGATGGGAAGAAAGTTGATTATTTTGAAATGTGTTGGAGGAGAATTTTGCAGATACTATGGACTGATGAACAGAAAAATAAGTGAGTTCTAGATCAAATCAGGCTACCAGGCCCATAGCCACAGGGAGCATTTGAGGTGACGCCCCCTCCAAAATGTGCAATGCTCCCTCCCGGCCCCCTCCCCTGCTGGTCCCAGGGGGAGGGGGAGGAAGCCTGAGGCAAGCAGCGTGCTGCCCTCCTCCCCTGTTGCCCTCAGAGCATCCAGGGCTGGAGCAGGGCTGGGAGGGGGAGGATGTTTCCTCTTTGCCAAAAAAAACCCTGGCGTTGAGGTGAGGGAGAGCTGCAGATGGTGGTGGGGTGAGGAAAAGAAATGTAGGGTGAGGAGGAGGCAAAGGGGAGAAGGGGGAGTTGAGTCCAGGTGCTCATGGGAAAGGCAGGCCCCCTTGCCCCTGGCAAGCAGTGGGCGGTGTGCCTGGGGAAAGCAAGAGGTTTGCGGGGCCTGGAGTGCCAAAACCACCACTGCAGATCCTTGCCTCCCCTAACTGCTTTCTGCTCCAACTGCAGCTAAAGAGACTACTGCAAGGGATGCGTCTCCAACTCCCACAGCGGCTCCTGTGCCTCCCTTCCTCACATGCACTTCTGCTGTTACAACAGATGGGAGTGTACAAATAGACATTTGGGAAATGTAGGGTCTTTCTTTTATTTCTGGCAGCATCGACCCAGCTCTCTGCCAGCCTTTAGTAAAGTCAGTTTAGTAAAGCCTTTAGTAAAGGGCAGAGCAAAGCCAACTTTCCTGTAATATAAAGCCAGCTTCTGCTGGCTCCCTCCCCTCACTCCAGGCAGTTACTGCCCCCTTTTTGCCCCCCCCCCCCGAATAATTCTCCCTAGAAGCTAAAAGGACCAAACTGAAGCTAACATACTTTGGTCACATTATGAAAAGCCAAGAGTCAACAGAAAAGACAATAATGCTAGCAAAGTTGAAGGCAGCAGGAAAAGAGGAAGACCCAACTAGGGATGGGCATGAACCAGGAAAATGCACTTCGGTTCGTGGTTCATAGTGTGTCCGGTTCACAAACCACGAACCATCATGAACTTTTAGGAGTGAAACTAACAGGTCCATGACCTAGTAGAATGGCCCCCTGGCATGCTAGAGACACCAAACGTACAGGGGTTTTCCAGCTGACTCTCTTCTACCTGTCCTCCACGTTTAGGGAGTATTGGATTTACAGAGCCCAAGTTACGGCCCCCCAAAGAAGGTGCCCCCTAAGAAAGTGCTTTCTGAGGAAATGAAATGTTTAAAAAAGGTCTAGACTGTTAATTATCTTTATTTTTAGTGCTTTATAATATTTACCCATATAAAGTTTATTTCTTTTCTTTTTCCTCAGATTGAACCTAATGTTTTGTGTGTGGGGGTTGCGACACATTGATTTCTCATATAATAATATGAGCCCTAGGAGCTCACCAGCTGTGGGATATGTAGCATACAAAGTCATATACCCCAAATTTGCTGAAACTAAATACATTTGCTGAAGTTACTGAGCTGAGTTTAGTGAGCAGTGAATACTGAGGGCCAGGAGAGCAAACAGTGGCATTTTACATCATTCCGGCACATCAGATGATGTGTGCAACAGATTTCTACTGTACTCTGCATAGCTGAATCTGCCACATCAGTGAGACTGAATTACAGTAACCGGCAGAAGCTAAATCACCAAATCCAATAGCTATGCTGTACTTCCTGGCACACATCTTAATTAGGTTTTAATATAAGTAATCTGATAACTACTCCTGGCTGGCCAGAGCTGAACTGTCAGCACTGAAAGCTTTTGTTATTTAGTTGCTCTTCCCATGTATGGTGGCAGTCTCCCTCCTGACCCTTGTCAAAGAACCCCATCTGCTGGTTACCACGGTAACTGAAGAAGACCAATTGAGCTGAACAGAGCAACTCAAACTGAAGTCTGCCGCCAAAGGAATCCTGAAAAAGACAATAACTTGCTTAGGAAAAGGCAGCCTATTAGTGGGGACGGTGTAACTGCATAACTCTCCAGACCACAAGCACCAGAATGGATCTGGTAAAGAGTTGGGCTGCCTGAAATATATCCTACTGAGATCGTACGAGGGTTATCAGCCTTCAATGGGGTCTTCACTTCTCTCAGAATTACAAATTATTTACAGGTTACAGTGATCAGTTCCCCTGGAAGAATTGGCAGGTAAATTCTGTGGCATCACAATCCTTCTGAACTCCTTCTTCCCAAACTCCACCCGCTTCCAAATTTTCAGGAATTTCCCAAGCCGGAGCTGGCAACTAGGGGTGTGCAACCCCCCTCCCCATTTTACCCCCAGTTCAAGTCTATTGAACCAGAAGAAAAATTGGGATTCCTGAAAAGTCCCGGATCCTAATATCGGTGTGGTATTAAAATCCAGGATTTTAAGGAAATCCTCATTGTTTCCTGGCCCAATAAACTTGAGATGAAAAAAATGGGGGGGGGGTGCATACCAGATGCATTTGGATGATTGGTTCAGAGTTAGGTGTTTTGATGCTGCTGTCTGGAAAACTGGAGTGGCTTCAAAGACAGACCACTGTTTCT